GAACTGTTGAAGCTGGACCATAACAGTAGAAGGATTTGTCTACCCTCCTTGGTTGACTATCTGGGTAAATTGGGATTACTACTTAGATTATTTGTAGATGCCCATTAAAAAGGACATATCCATTAAATATTTCCCAAAAACTTCTGAAAATCACTCAAAGATTGTAAACTATACTGTGTCCAAATAAGTTTTTAAAATTATTTGAAGTCTGTGAGCAGTCTTTCCCAATCTAACCTGTAGCTCTCACTAGCTGACAAGGCCTCGTTTGTATCTTAAATTTTTCTGTTAAAACATTAACAGACTGGCTGGATGTTCCTTTTGGCTATATTTAAAGCAATCTAGGTAGCTTCTTAACTATTTTTGAAGGGATTTAAGTATCCTTTTAATCATATAAGCAGTTCACACTCATGCATTCACAATCACATTTCATATATACCGGTGTGGCCACACCATACATTCAGAACATACATGCATCTTTCAGTCATCCTTTTTCCCTAGGTCATGATTAGTCTGTTGCAATGAAGCTTCCTTAATTGAAATCTATGTAAAAGAACAACTCCAGCCAATCTTTGAACTAAAAAGGTTAAAAAGTCCTATATGTTTTTATCATTCCTCCATTTGAGCTATAGTCATGGGGTACAGCCGTACCTACTCCTTGTAACTCTGTAGATGCAAGGTAGAGAGGCCAGGCTTTTGGCCAAAAGTTTTTAGAGATGACTCACAAAATAGAACTTAAATGTAAACAAAATTTTCCATTCCATATACCTTTGTCTTTTTCTTTTTCTTTTACTTAATACCAGTAACTCCTTTATTAACCGTTACCAATTTTCAATTTACTCACTTTTAATCCATCCTCCAACTGAGGGTGATCTCTCAGGTTCCCCTTTCTTTCCTGACCTTGGTGTCAGGTGAAGGCCTGGAGATTTAATCCAATCCACCCCCTCAACTGAGGGCGATCTGTCTGGGTTCCCTTACTTTCCTGACCTTTGTCAGGTGAAGGCCTGGAGATTTAATCCAATCCACCCTCCAACCTAGGGTGATCTCTCAGGGTCCCCTTACTTTCCTGACCTTTGTCAGGCGAAGGCCTGGAGATTTAATCCAGTACCCCTAGCTTGGTACCCCTTTTTAACACATCCACATAGCCTTACTGGCCAGCCTTTTAGATCTCTCAGTTTCCCTTTACTTTTCTGACCTCAGTGGATCAGGCGAAAGACTGGAGATTTTTTATTTTATTTCTTATTTTACCCTTTTTTTTTGAGACTGGGTTTCTCTCTATCCTTTTGGAGGCTGTCCTGGAACTTGCTCTATAGACCAAGATGGCCTCATTCCTTCCTATCTCTGCCTCCCGAGTGTTGGGATTAAAGGTGTATGCCACCAACACCTGGCTCTCTGAATATCATAGCAAACATCCTCCCAATCTGGGACATTTAAGCCTTCCCTGGTAATGAACCATGGGCTCCCTCGTTCAATCCATTTTAAAAAGCCTGCCATGGTTGTAGTCCCCTGTTCTTCAAGCAACTTTTTTACGTGATACTGTAATTTAAACTTCCAGGGACTATTTCCCATTGTTTCTTTTCCTATTTTCCTCCATCTGTCCCTGGCTGGCAAAAGGGACGACCCCGTCCACTTACCTCGCTTTCACGATCTCAGTGGGACCTCCAATTGTCACGTCTGCTGCGCGGCCTGTGTCCGAGAACATGCGGAGGGTGTCGGAGATCGACAACACAGAGACTTGTTCAATGATGTAAAGAGAACTTTAAACAGGCTCCAAAATGGTTCAAGAAAAACTTCCTAAGAAAAGCTCCCACCAGAGAAGCTTCTGCTCTCTCCTCTACCCTGGCTGGTTCTGCTCTGACCCCAGAGGTGGATGTGTGTGGGTTTTTGAAGGTGCGGTTAGTCTTTGGACAAGGTCGAGGTCAGGGCGGTTTCCGTGGGAAGGCCTTTCCCAGGAACTTATTGTGTCGTTTTTAGTAAACATGTTTTTACTGAACATTGTCTTACAGCTGCCTACTCCCAGGCAGAAGGGGAAGTGGCCAGGAACTTATTGTATCGTTTTTAGTAAACATGTTTTTACTAAACATTGTCTTACAGCTGCCTACTCCCAGGCAGAAGGGGAAGTGGGTCTCTGCTCAAGGTCTGGTGTTCCCACACTCTTTTTTGTTTGTTTGTTTGTTTCGTTTTCCTCTTCTCTAACACTAACCTGCACTGGAAGCATCTGATCTGTTGCGGCTCCTGGCCATGAATTGAGGGATGCTTGCCCCTAGGCTGCCATAGACAAAGGAACATTTCTCTGATCTGAGGAAACTTGAAAAGTTCTTATCTCCTGTGAGAGAGATTTTGCTAAATCTTTCAAGACTCTTAGTTTTTGCTGAATTTTACCACTAGGTTTCTGCCTCTCTGTATTTCTAGTTCCTAATCTCTCAGTCCTGTATGGTTTTTGTTTGTTTGGTTGTTTGTTTTCTGATCTAGCTGCTCCTCAGTAGGCACTGAGGTCTCTTATCATACTGCTAACTGCTTCAGGAGCAGTATGCAGGTAGCACCTTCCATTCCCCAAGCCCTGGCACAGCACCTGTGACACAGCTGCAGCAGTGGCTTCTGTGAAAGGGGAACCTTTTAAACTTTTAAACTCCAAAATCCTCCGAAGTTTTGCTTCATTTTAGCTCTCCTGGCTATCAAAACACACACGAATAAATACACAATTATCTGGCCAACAGTTTCCTTCTTATACATTCCCTTGTTAATCTTGAAGGCAGTCACTACCATATTATATATATATATATATATCATCCCCTTCAGGGACAAGCATCTCCCATATTCCCATATAAGTTTTAACTTCTTTAAACCTTTATTTTTAACCTATGTTACTCCTAAGAATTATATAAGATCCTTCTTTTTCACCCTAATTCCTTGTATCCTGAGGGCTTCTTTGAGCCCGGAAAGAAAGAGAGACTTTTGAGAGAATGCCTGTCCTATCATTTACATTGGCGGTAAGATCTGCGCCGTTGCTCACCACCTCGCCTGTCTTGCTCTTTTCAGTGGGTCACTGAAATGAAGACTGTGCCATCCTCTGGGGGACGATCTGGAAGGGCCCTTCACTCCGTGAGCGGCGTCTTCCTCCTGGCTATCCAACTTCAGTCCACGCTGGGTGCCAAATATGTCCCGACCCACAGGACATTCAGCATGGGTCTGGTGGATACCTAGGAGAAAGATGGAGGACAGGGGATAAAGGAATGGACGCCAAGACAGGATTCTGATCAAGGTGACAACTTTATTTCATCACAAGGGCATTTATATAGGAGAACTGAGGAGAAGGGAAAGGGGGAAGGTGTGCTTGCAGCTGCAGGGGCAAGAGGTCAGTGGGAGAGGTGGTCTGCTGTGTTGCCTGGCTACCTAATCTACAGGGCAAGAGGTCAGGGGTAAGAATTCCTATGTTGCTTGCTAACCTGACAGCAGAATCCATTCCTATCTATCACAATTTACTACTGCTCAGGCCTATCTTCTGAGGACCTTGTAGTTTTTCCAATTAAGCTAATCTTTAACTGACTGGTAAATCCCAGGCTTGTTACTTGGAATTTGCTTTATGTCAGAAGGGGTGGCAGGGTGGTCTTAGTGTCATGTCTTCTCTATGAGTACATGATACAGCCTAGCTGACTGATGGCTGAAGGTCCCTGACACTGGATGCCTCACAACTGAAGAGTGGATAGACAAAATGTGGCACATTTGCACAATGGAGTCCTACTCAGAAGAAATAAACACAGGAATCTTGAAATTTTCAGGCAAACAGAATGCACTAGAGGAGACCATCCTGAGTGAGGTAACCCACATACAAAAAGACAAACATGATATATACTCACTCTTAAGTGGATTTTAGATATGGGTCAGGGGAGTGTCAGGCTATAATTTCAGTGCCAGTGAGTCTAGGAAACAGGGAGGTTCCAAGGAGAGATGCATGATAACCCAGAGAATTGGAATGAGGCAAGATCTCCTCTGCAGATTGGGAACATCATGAGATGGGAGAGGGAGCCAGGATAAAGAGGGGGAACAAGAGGAGGGGAGAAGAAGTAATGGTGTATTAGGAAGGTTGAGTCGCAGTAAGCAGGATGAAATATACCATAATAGATCAAGTCATTATAGATTTGCGGAGAGAGCTGACACTAGTGAGATCTCTAGAGATCTACAAGGATAACACCAACTGGCAATCTAAGCAATAGTGGAGAGAGTACATTAGTAGACCCTCCTTGATGATAAGGTTGATGACTACCTTATACACCATCCTAGAACCTTCATCCAGTGACTGATTGAAGCAGAGACAGTTGCCCACAGCTAAACACTGAACTGAACTCCTCGAACCTAGTGAGAGAGATGGAGGAGTGAAAAGCAAAGGGGTCAAGACCATAATGGTGAAACCCACAAAGAAATTTGTCTTGATAAGGAGGAACTTTTGAATCCCAGTCTGATAGCTGAGAGGCCACTAGGGCCTGATCCCAACTGCATGAATGTAGTGTCAGTAAGGAGGCCTCAGAAATCTCTGTGGCCTTGTATAGTAGATCAGTTTTTTCCATGGTGTATTAATGATTTTGATAGCCCACTCCAAATATAGTGATGGTCTCTCAGGCTGAACACATGGGGAATGGCCTAGGTCCTGCCCTAGATGAAATGAATGACTTTGGAGATCCCCCCAAGCAGGGCCCCACACTCCATGGAGAATGATGTGGAGATTGGTGGGGTGCTGGGGGAGCTGGTGGGTGGACAAGGGAGGAGGGGTGGAAGAGGTTTCTAATTTAAATAAAAACATATATTGAGGAATAAAAACTATAAAATTTCCATTTTATGTCATATATGTGGCACACACACACTCACACACACAACCACACACACAAACACACACACCACATACATAACATATATCCCACATAAATATATAAAATTCATACTGAATATTTCTATTTAATATTAATCAGATTGAATAATAAATAACATGCTTTAAGCATTTATGCAAGTAAATTTATTTAGTGAATCACAGAAAAAGAAAAGTGTATTAAAAAGGGTAAGGCAAGAAACTTGAAGTAAGTTACTGAGTTAAGGATCTGAACCAGAAAGAAAATGTGATAAAATCATTGGGGAAGAAATATAGATTCAAATTTGTATTTGTAACTTTGATTCCATGGACAGAAACGTTTCAAGCTGTTTCAGTTTTATAACCTGCAAAATTTACAACATTAATTAAAATATATTAAATAATAGTAAAGACATTATGACTTATAGAGTATGCATGAATGCTTGCTTGAGTGATGAAGTGTAAAATGATGTATTACTAAAGCAGAAATCTCATTCTATAGACTCCATCTGAAGATAAGCAACGGAATTTAATATTTGTCTCTTTCAAACGATTTAATAACCAGGAAATTTTTCAGAGCATAAGGTTGCATTTTCATATAAAATTATATGCAATAAAGACAGATATTTCTGGAAGCTTGATACTTTCAAATATCCCTTATTTAATTTTACTGACTGTCAATTAAAAGTAGCACACTCAAGACTTACTATGATATGCTAATCATATTTAATATGTTAATACCTTCCTAAATTAATTCACTCTATCTGGAAAATAAATTAGTATATTTCCTAACTGAACTTAGCGTTTCTATTTAAAACACATGTGTAAAAAATAAAAATGTCTATAGAACTCTGTCAATAGGGATATTTTTAAAAATAATTTCACGGAGATTTTATGATTTTGCAAGTATTTTGAAGCTGCTTTTTCATTGTATTATTTTAAAACTTCATACAATATATTCTGTGCACATTACTCCTAATACAATATTTTTGATTAAATAAACAATTTTATGTAAATATACTCAAATTTACATAGGAAAGGAGCTATATTAATGTTCCACTCACCAAGTCAATATCTTCCTTGAGGACAGGTGTCTGGATGAAATATAGGATACACAAAGTAAAGATTAATCTATTTACTCAATAATTTTAAGCACTGGAAATTGAAAAGAAGAATTATCATGATTTTCTCTTATTTCAAATCAATATTTTTTCTATTATCAAAGCAAAGTTATTTACCATTTGTAAGGGCATCTTGTATATTTTCAACTGGAATTCCATCATCCGTAGTCAAATCCAGAAAGAAGTCCCATAAGTTTTCACTGAGACTGATTTCTTTTGCTCCATTTCATATAAGAAGTCAGAAAAGATGGCCATGAGATATATATCTATTTCTGATTTATGGACTACTTAATGTTTCCAGAACGATTTCAATTAATTGATTTTAACTTTAGTTCTTTAAGAACTTTATTCTGTGGATTTGGATCACATTCACATTCCTGCCAACAAATCTGAAATCCACCAAACTTTTGCCAGTTAATCATGAAACACAAACATATTTTTATTTTTTAACCTATTAAAACTTGTTTGTTTGACATATATATTGTTGAGTATGTGGTTTCCCACTTAAGGAGTGTCATTTTTAGAGACAACATTCAATTGCTAGGTCTTTGGTCAAATTCATAGATCATACGTTGTTTCAGAAATTTTAATGAAGTATTGCTTAGCATTCTAGTTAACACAAGGTACTTCACAATTGATGGATTCCTATAGAATAGATTGTTTATGTGCATTATGAGAGATTTAGTGTCATTTTCCAATAAATGTGATCATATAGGAGTTTTTTGATTAGGGTCCTGGGGCTGGATATTTGAATAGATGTTAAGAAGATATATATTTGCGCCGGGCGTTGGTGGCGCATGCCTTTAATCCCAGCACTCGGGAGGCAGAGGCAGGCAGATCTCTGTGTGTTTGAGGCCATGCTGGACCGACAGCCTCCAAAACAGAGAAACCCTGTCTCATAAAACCAAAAAAAAGAAGATATATATTTGCAACCACCTTAATTTAGCTCTCATACTTACATAATGCTGCAGTGAAGTTTATACTGCTTCCATTCTTTACAAAAAACTTCAAGTCTATGAATAATGTTGTGCTTGATACAAAATATAATAAAAATGAAAAGACAGCTGATTCTGCAAAGAAATAATTGTTTTGGATTAGCCAACAAAAATTGTCTGTCATTCATACGTATTTGATTGAATGTGTTTGTGCATGTATAATGGAAGGATTAGCAAAACAAAAAATAAAATGAAATGAGAAAAATCTTATCATAACTTCTGAGTTATCAATAACGGTAATTGCTCTTTTGCAAGTAAGAAAATACTACTTAGAATTAAATACTATTTAAGGTATAAATTATTTTATTAAGCTCATATTATTAATACATAAAGTTATGCAAATATTATAATTCCCCTGAAAGACTAATAGACTAATAACCAACATGTGTTTCATGGGAGATGTCTTTTTTAGGCTGTGAATGTATTTCTCTTATTTGTTAATGATTAAAGCTGTTTCAGCCAATGGACAGGCAGGATATAGACAGACAGAAAGTTAGGCAAAAAAGGAATGCCCCAACATTACAGATAAACTTGCTCAGGCAGAAAGATGTCTCTGTCAATTCTAATTTTTATATCACATCCTTCTATGGTCTATGATAGAACTGAAGACAAACAATTATGGTTATGGTTTTTTAGTTATAATAAGAGATAAGTTATATCTACAACTTTAGACTTACAAAGATAGAATGGAAGATAAAATATTTTCTTTAAATATTGTCAAATTTTAGTGTACTAAATGGCATCAACTATAGCTCTTGCTTGATAACTGTTTTAGTTTTTTAATCAGTTTTTTCTTTTAATTTTAAATAGCTTGTTTTACATGTCAATCCCACTTCCCTCTCTATCCCCTCCTCACACATGCCACCACCATCCCTCCATCCTCCCACCCTATTGCCAATTCCTTCTGCATAGGGGATATCTAGAGTCTGTCATTTCACTCAGGGTAGGGTCCAGGCACTTCCCTAAGAGTCCAGGCAGAGAGAGCAACCCTCTTTGTGTTATGGAAACATGATGTCTGTTAGTATTCGAGGTATAAACACTGATCCACTGCTCAGGACCCCATAGGTAGCCCAGGCCTCCTCACTGACTCTCACATTCAGGGGGTCTGGATAGGTCCCATGCTGGCCTCCCAGCTGTCGGTGTGGGGTCCAAGAGCTCTTCCCTGTTCGGATCAGCTGTCTCTGCTGGTTTTGCCAGCCCATTCTTTGCCAATTTGCTCATCGCTCCTCTCTCTTTGTCACTGGGTTCCTTGGGTTCAGTTCAGTATTTAACTGTGGGTGTTTGCCTCTGCTTCCATCAGTCACTGGATGAAGGCTCCAGGATGGTTATAGACATCAAGTTCACTATCAGGAATAGTCATTCGAGGCGTTCTCTACACTATTGCTTAGCTTGCCAATTGGTGTCATCCCTTTAGATCACTAGAGGTCACAATGGTGCCTGATCTGTCTTTACATTAAAAAACAATCTTATGTTACCTACTAATCTCAGTTCTCTGTCCCTCCTGCCCTCCCATTCCCCCCCACTAATCCCCATCGCTAATCCTATCTACTCCCCAGGGACAGTGAGACCTCCCATGGGGGATCATCACACTCTGAATACTGTGTTCTTATACACAATTTTACTATGTTAAAATAAAATCCTTCTTTTTATTTAGGTAGAAAATGAGATATGATGGGAAATTTCCTTCTGTCTGCTATGAATATATGTTTCTCTCATTGGTTTATGAGTGTTTTGACACATGGACAGCCAGGATGTAGCCAGGCAGGAAGTACGAGCAGGGCACCCTTATTAAGAGAATTCTGGGAAGAGGAATGAGGAGAGTCAGTTAAAATAAAGATGCCATTTAGCTACCAGGATGATAGATTGTTTGGGCATTCTCTGGTAAGACAAGACTATGTACAGATACATAGATTAATATAAATGGATTAATAATTAAGAGAGATAAATCAGTAAGAATCCTGAGCCGTCATCCAATAGCTTATAATTAATAAAATCATCTGTGTGTTTATTTGGAAATAACCAGCTATGGGACATGATAGGAAAGGAACTTTCTTCTATATGTGTTATTTTAATTTTGTAGATAGAACTTTTTAAAATAAATATTTAAACTAAAGTAATGTAGTAAATGAAAGAATCCTACTACATATGTATAGATATTTTTCCTACTGTCATGAAATTCCAGGTGATATAACCCAGACAAATTATTTCAGTTACCATAAACTGTTTACTAAGTTTTCAGTCTGGCATGAACCAAAATCACTCACTTTCTTATGGTAATATCAGGCAAAATATTTTATGCAGGTTTATTAATATAATGTTGATATTACCAAACAGCAAAAAAGTCACAGTATAGAAAATTTTACACAATCCACTGACAATAATTTCTCTAAACTTGTTTATGTTTTTCAGTGTTTCAGTTTAAGCAGTGTAAAAGTGTTCCAGAAACCACTTATCCGCTTATGATGGAGAGAATGATTCAACATTTCCACTTGATACTTGGTTTGTGTAGTTTGTGTGAGTTTTAGATTCAGAGTCAAAATTATGTAGAAAGATCATTAGTAGAATGAAGTGAATATTTTACACACCTTTAGTTCCATCTTCGTTTGTATAAACCCAACTTTCAGGGAGAGTAGAAAACGTATAAGCAAACATCCATAATTCTGTAATATAAATATTCCTACCCTGGCTTCTGGTTGATGATGGTTTGGGATTCCCTGAAATCAAAATATGAAAATCATCCTCTTTTGAGATAGTTTCCTATTTAAACATACTTTTGGAAGCTAAAATTAAAATAATTAACATGAGTATGAACCTAATGCAAAGTATAAATCTTTACTTTCAGTAAACTGAAAAAGTCAAATACTCACTTGTTGTGATAAACATGCCAGGAAGAAACTTTTTAGCCAAAACGGCATAAAGCTGGCATCCATAGTTTTGCCTAAGCACAAAGGAACAATCATTTGATTTTAATAAGTCAATATTTTTCATACATCACTTGACTTATAGGCACAGATAATGTCCACTGTATTTTATACACAATAAAGAATGGATGACTCTCCTAATACCCTCATGCATACTATTCTTATAGTAGTCCTGTGACAAAATTATAATGTTTTATCTAAATATGCACTGAGAATATTTGTATCATTATATATGTATATATATACATATATGTATATGTGTGCATCTGTGTATGTGTGTGTGTATACAATAAATATTTCACCACAGACTAACTGTAATGCTACTCAGCAGCAACCAGGAATATCCAGATACTAATACTTTGATAAAACCAACAAGCAGGTTGGAAAGGTAATTGCACACTTCATGTTAAAGCAAGAAAATTATTTACCAGGAATGTAACCATTAAATATCTCAGTAATTTTGTTGTAAATTCCACCATCATTATGGAATATAGAAATAATCCAAAATCACCTTTGACGAATTACAAAAAAGATTCAATTGTGGTCCACAGAGTTAAAATTGACAAACATGGGGTCATTTATTGGCTATACTTGAATGAGTGATAGTAATTTCAAGCTTATTTCTCTAACGTGTCATTGAAATGCAAGCTTTTTAATATTTTAATATTAGAAGCACAGCAGAACATTTATACATATGTGGAGGTGTACTTGGAGATGTGAGAGAAAAGTAAATAAAAGCTGGGTAAACATTTTATAGAGAGCTGCTATGGGTTTCTCTTCAAAATTTGCAAGTATATTTATATTATCACTCAGAACAAATTGAAATCCAAATATGAACATCTAGTTGACAATGAATCACATCAGCTTAACATGTCTTAAAATGTTAGTTGTTCATATTTCTGTATCTTAATTTCAGATGTAATATTCACCAACATTTCTATAATTTCAAATGTATTACATTTTATTAAGAATTACTTTCATCATATCAATTCCTGTGCCCCTGCTCAGTTCCATGTGATAAGCATAATTACTACTGACACTAACTTAAATCCATGCAAAACCATGGAAATTATGGCTATGTACTACTTTGAGAAATCAGTATTTTGTCTCTTGTGCCTGGATATGTTTGTCTTACCTCATATAAAAGGTGATGCACATTTCATCATTATTTTGAAACTGAATATGACGTACATAAATTTTTAGTGGCCCATTGTCTCCTATGAACTTTAATTCATCAGCTGCTAAGTAGAGAGTGTGAAATTCCCCTGAAAGCTGACAATAAACATTATTGAATATTCAATCAATTATATTTCCTTTTGCAATTAAAGTATAAACAATTTTAGATGTCCTTACATAATTTTCAGATTTTTTTGTTTGTTTTTAAAGACAGTATATCTCTGTATTGCTTTGGTGGTTGTCCTGGAACCCACTCTGTAGACCAGGCTGGCCTCAAACTCACAGAGATCCACATGCTTCTGCCTAGCAAGTGCTGAGATTAAGGGTGTGCTCCACAGATGCCTGGCTCAGAGACATTTTTTAAAGCAGTGTCTCTCTAATTCCTAAATGCTGTTTTATGTAAAGTTTCTGGAAAATTGTATTGCAAAATACAGTGTAGACACAGACTGACTGAATCAATGTGCATTGTATTTCATGATATGAGATATATTTTTTAAGTACTGGAAGAAAACGACATTTTTTAGACAATTTGTGGCCTAAGCATAGGTTCAAATGTTCTGTGTAGATCACAAAAATAATGGAAAAAAATGCTTAAAGACTGACAAACGGGACCTGGTGGACCAAAATATTTACATGGAAGAAAACTGTCAGTAACAAAGTTGGTGAAGACTAATAAAAGAAGAAATATTTTTTCAGGCACAGTCATTTCGTTGAATATTTACTTCTGTATATATGTTTCGCTTATTGTTTGATGAATAAAATACTGTTGGCCAGTAAGGCAGGAAAATAAGTGGGGCTAGGAAACTAGGAGAATTCTGGGAAAGGTAGGCAGGGGGAGCCCTCCAGAACAGTCGCCATGTAATGACCAGGTGTTCTCTAGTAAAAAAAAGACCACGTGGAAATACAGAGATCAATAAAAGTGAATTAATAATTAAGATAGAGATAGCTAATAAGAAGCCCTAGCCATCAGTCAACAGTTCAATCATTAATATATGTCTCTGTGTGATTATTTGGGGCTAGAAAGGCTGAAGGACCCTTGAAAAGGAGATGATGCGGAATATGCTTTTTTATATATGTTTCTCTTATTGGTTGACTAAAACACTGTTTGGCTTATAAATAATAGAATAAGAAAATTGGCAAGGCTATGAGGTGAGGAGAATCCAGAGAAAGGTAGGCAGACAGAGTCACCATGTATAACCAGGCAAGAAAGAATGTCCCAGGTGGTCTCTGGTAAGACAAGGCCATGTAGAAATACATACATTAATAATTACCGTTTGATGATTTCAGGAGAGGTAGCCAATAAGAAGCCCAAGGCAACGGACACAGGTTTGTAGTTAATAGAGCATCCATGTGCTTAAGTGGGACTCAAGTGCCAGGTTACCAGGTGGTAAGAACCTTCAGAGCTCCATAGGTTCATTACAATAATTTATTAGGGACAAAAATATTTAGAAATTTTAAAAAGAAAAATCAGATTAAATATCATATGGCCGGGAGTGGGAGATATTGGATAGAGGGTATTTTGAGATAAATAAAAGCATATTTCATTATATAACTTTACTAAATGCTAACAATGCCAATTTGATCATCACTCCTCTCTCTCTGTCACTGGGTTCCATGGGCTCAGTTCAGTGTTTAACTCTGGGCGTTTGCCTCTGCTTCCTTCAGTCACTGGATGAAGGTTCTAAAACCAGCAGAGACAGCTGATCTAAACAAGGGAGAGCTCTTGGACCCCAGACTGACAGCTGGGAGGCCAGCATCAGACTAATCCAGACCACCTGAGTGTGAGAGTCAGTGAGGAGGCCTGGACAACCTATGGGGCCCTGGGTAGTAGATCAGTGTTTATCCCTGGCATTCAAATGCACTTCGTGTGTCCATAAAACAAAGAGGGATGCTCTGTCAGCCTGGACTCTTAGGGGGAATGCCTGGACTCTGCCATGAGTGAAATGATGGAATCTGAATATCCCCTATGTAGAAGAAATTGGCAATAGGGTGGGAGGCTGCTGTGGATGGTAGGGAGGTGTGGGAGGAGGGGAGGGAGAGGGAACTGGGAGTGACATGTGAAGCAAGCTATTTAAAATTAAAATAATAAAATAAAAAAATAAAAATAAAAGTGCAAACAATGGAATGAAAATTAAAATGTGCAACAGAATTGTGTATCTTCCAAACATGAGAGTTTAATATTCACAACCATCAATGATTAACATTTTAAGACTTGTCTTATTCTAGTAAAAGTCCTTCCCAAGGAATAAAGCTGATGAAAAATGCTAGGATTCCTGTGTCAAAAGAGAACATTTACCCACTGAGAGCAGGAGTATAATCAGTTGCAATCTGTATTTAAATGGATTGTGGAGGTTGCTCAAACCACTAAAAAATAAAATAAGCAAAGAAGAATGGGAAACTATAGTCCAAACATATTAATTGTGAAAGGAACTTATTTTTATTAAACTACAAAAAGTAATTCCTTTGATTTTCTCTACTATTAATGAAACCAAATTAAATATGTAAAAATAAAGCTAAATTATTCCAATAGAATGTGTGAGTGCATATAGTCCCACTTTAAATTATTGTTTGTTCTCATTAGATAATTTACAAAAGTAAATTAAAAGTGATGACAAAACTCTAAATTAATAGACAAAATAAATATAGCAACAAGAAACATGAAGAACTGAAAACTCACATAAAAATACCATCTTAATTGCAGCTAAATAAATATCATGGAATAAAACATTTATTTGTATAATAGATGGCACTATTTGATTTCAGTTATTCAATTCCAACTTCCTTTAAAGGTAAATTTTGGTAGTTGCATTGCTGCATTGAACAAAAAGCAAAGGACAAGTTGCCTGCAATCCACAACTCCAGAGAAGGTTAGAAACCTAACAAATGGAAAGGGACAAGGTCTCCTGAGTACAGTGGGAGCACAGTGAGAGGGAAAGTGAGGTAGAAAAATAAGAGGGTAGAAGGGAAGTGGGAGGAGAACTTGAGGGAGCAGGAATCTCAAGTTGGAGGAAGAACAAAGAAATAGAGCAGGGAAAGAGATACCTTAATGGAGGGAGCTACTATGGACTTAACAAGAAATATGACACTAGGGAAATCTGCATTAATTCACAAGGATGATCCGAACAAAGTATCTAATCAATAGTGGAAAATCTACCTTAAATGCCCTTCCTGTATGAGACTGATGACTGCCTCATATGCCATCCTAAAGCAGGAGCAGATACCGACAGCTAAGCACTGATTCATACTCCTCAAATCCAGTTGAAGGGAAGGGAGAGCGATGAGCAAAGGGGCCAAGATCTGGCTTGAGACACCCACACAAACATCTGACCTGAACAAATAAGAGCTCATTGGCCCCAGACTGGCATAAGACAGCATAAGACAGAAGCAGGTCTCCTGAATGTGGGTGACAGTTAGGAGGCCTGGACTATGTATGGAGCTTCTGGTAGTGTAACCAGTATTAATCCCAAGTGTACATATAGGCTTTGGAAATGCATTCCCCATGGAGGAATACTTTTTCAGCCAAGATACACGGGGCAGGGCCCTAAAAAAATGAAGTGACAGACTTTGATGAACTTCCACGGCAGGACTCATCCTCTCTGTGATAGGATGGGGAGATGATGAGGGGGAAGTGAAGACAGAAGGGAACAAAAACTGGAATTGGCATGTAAAATAAGATTTTTTTGAGTTTCAATAAAATTAATTTTTAAAATTATGCTCATTTAAATCACCGTAGACTTCATCAGACACAAGAAGGAAATAATTCATGAATAGTACACATAAACCATATAATTATATATATTATTAATGAATGACATATAAATCTCAATAGGGCACAATTACTGTGATGTCTTGTTTTATTGACTACTATGTAAGCTATAGAAAGTGGCACTCGAAGAATTTTCATTGTATTTCCTACTTTAATTAATCAAGGTATAGCAAGACATCATTTTGTGCACTGAGCTATTTTCATTTTCTAAACAGTATAAATTTGTGAAAATTTCTAAATTATGATGCACTTTTTGTGGTATTAATTACCACATATATCACAAATATTCATCGTTTGATGTATGGCATTATAAACTTAACCATTATCTATTGTGAACTGTCTACAAATAAATTTAAAATTTATTTTAGTTTTATCACATTTTCATTGTACTAGTACTATCAATTTTAATGAAAAAGAAAAAAAAGACTAGATTTCTTCTGCCACCATGCTCTACATTCTGATCTTTAGAATCATAAAATTCAGATCAGCAATCATATTATAGTAAAACCTCTGCTTACCACCAAATATCCTTGGATATGAAAATCTAAAATGTTTCATTTTCATAGAAAATAAAAAGAGAATCACTATAGAACCAGTTAACTGAAGAAGAACTCTGCGATTATATTGTAATCAGTAAACAGGTAATCTCAAGGTAGTAATTATTACATAATTGAAGCCATTGTTTCTGCTGTCTTAGTTATGCAGGATAGAAACAAATTACTTTAGTCTTTAAGCAAGGGAAAATCTCTGCAAACTCAGTTAACAAAGAAAGGTTGGCACAGTAACAGAGTAAACAATCATACTTATTATTGCAAGTTTATCCTAGGTACTAATTTGATAAAGCTAATTTTTCGAGAAAACAAGATGTTGTCCCTACACAGCATGTTTATCCTGACCCTCATTAATATACAGTTATTTTCTAACACTTTTTCAATTCTTAAATTTTGTGGTTAAAATTTCAGTCAATCAAATAACAGACTGTCCTAGATGTGCTTCTGCTTTATTAAACTAAATAATCCAGCCATTGTAACATATCGGTAGTTTCCATTGAGAGGAGATATTTAGTATTTATTTAAATATTCATATGCATGTTTGTCAGGTGCATTTAAACATAAAATACAATACGATTAAGATTCTCCCATGTATAACCATACCAATAAACACACACACACACACACACACACACACACACACACAGAACATGTATCCTTTGTACAGGTTGATAAGGATTTGTTGTACTGTTGATTAAATAATGCAAGCAGTGTTAAATCATAAAAAATAAAAAACAAAATTATCCAGTCATGCAATACCTTGTCAGCACTAACAAAGATGATGAAAGCAGTTAACAACAGAATCTCCATTTTCAGCTTCTTGGTCTCTATCCACCGGAGGAATTGCAGTTCAGTTTTGAAGAGGGCATAAATTAAAACATAGTTCATGTATCAAATACAATATCAAGTGCAGTTTATTCTGGAAGCTTTATTGTTTTTTGTCAATGTTTCCTGTTTGGCAGTCAGTCCAGGATTTAGATTGGCATTGATATATTTCAACAGACATTTTAATTAGGAAGCATACCATAATA